TACGGCTGATTCCGCGTTGCCCCCTTGCTTCGAGAGATTGCGAGACAGAGTCGGGGGGGCACGGATGTATGATTATTTTTCCTTACGTGTTGGGGGCTCGGCGGCGGGGGGCAGGGGCACTTCGTTGCTGAGAAGGTGAGGTGGCAGTCAGGGGGATAGTGGCCTTGTTGGGCGCCTCGGTCCTTTTGAGCATGTACGGCTAACGAGATGAACATCGGCCGGGGGTTGGGGTGCTCGGTTGTTGTTGTTGTTCGTGGCTGTGATCCTCGCACCATGGGGTGGAGAAATCCGAACCGGTACAAGTACGGGCAGCTCTCTAAAGTGAAGTCACATATCTTGGATGGAACCCTCTCGACGACCAGTGACGGATACGTTCTGCTACATCTACCCTGACGTGTGTGAGTCGTACAACAGGGTATCGCCACTGTTTTTTTCCTGTCTGCGATTAACAACCACCTATGCATATGCATACGACGATGTTGCTCTGATGCGTGGGTCGTACAGCAGTCTAGCGCCACTCTTTCTTTTCTTCTAACGATCCGTCGTTCCGTGAATCTTGCAGTATTATAGCGCGTCTCTTTTTTTTCCTGTCCACGATTAACAAGCATCGAACGATTAATAAGCCTATACGATCTTCCCTGATGCGTATGAGTGTAGCGCCACTTACTGTTTACTGTCTATGATTATCAGCCACGTACACCGCCGCCGCCGCCGCCGACAACAGTAGCCAAGGTTCTCGCCCGTACGGCACCTCGCCGCCCCTTGCCGGAAGCGCAGGTCAGGCTCGGGGCGACGGTGCACGGCCTGGTGCACCTCCCGCATGATCTGGCTCACGCGGGCAAGACCGGGGACATCCTGAAGCAGCTCTTGAGGGCGAGGGGCCACTACGTGGCGCTTGTCTCGACCATGGAGGATGCCCTTGTGGCACAGCCTAAGGTATGGGGGGGCCTGTTTAGTGCCGGTGTTCGGAATGGTGCCGATCAATTCTCTGGGCACATACCGGCACTACACAGCCCCCGCCCCCACTGCTGGTACCTACCTGTGTAGGTGTCTGACGCGGAGTGTGGTAGTGAGGAACGCGCGCTGTTGTTGACTTGTGTCGTAGGACCTGCGCCCTCTCTCCCCTACGCCCTCTGTCCTACATGACAAAGCTCTCTCTCGCAGATACATGAGAGTTTGTTTGTGTGTTTCGGAAGGGGGTGATTGGTTGATTCACGTCGATTTTATTTACTCTTTTTCTTGCGGAAGCACCAATGCCGTCCTGGCAAGACATTTGAAAGTTGTTTCACGCCAAGATGTAAACACTGCTCTCTGTCAAGGTGAAGGCCGTGCTGAGGTTCTGCACATTTCGGCATTTCGGCCTTCGAAGGTTGACGAACGTTTTTCTTGAAGCACGCTGCCGCTACTTGCGACAATCGAACGAACTCTGTTGTGTTTTTCACACACGTTTTTCTTCCTGGCGATCGTGTCCCGCGGTTTAAACATGTTACGCTTCCACGAGTGTCCTCCTTGGGCAGATGTGGCAAAAGAACAGAGAACAGCAGCAGGGCTGGCGGTGCGATTCGAAGCACGCACGATCAACGTGGCAAGCCTACTGCGATGTCTCTACTCACCATTACGCTCCGGTTGTATGCGAGATTTTTTGTTTCTTAATTTATCATCCCTTCATCTCGCCTCTCGTTGTTTTGTTTTATGTGGAGATGACGAGAACGTCCTGCCGGCGCAGGAAGCCTCACCCAACTTCATTATTTACATTAAATTATCCTCGTGATAGAGACAGAATACACAGAGATTTTGTACGTGCTGTTTGTGCGGAGGTGACCTTTGAAAAGGTCCCATCTACCCGAATGTCCGTCGAGGGCGAACCCAAACTAGTGATGTATTACTAATAATATTGTTGCGTTTCTTTTTCTTGTGGTTCGTGGTATTCTGTAGTCGGGGCTCAAGGAAGGAGAGGAAGGGGAGCAGGGGGACGGGGATGATGACGAGGAGGAAGAGGCGGCGGGATTGCTGGACCGGCATACCGTCAAGCACAAGGTAGGTAGCTTGCTCGCTCGATGTGGAAGTAGATGTAAAACCGCCATGGAACAGTATGGAATGGAACGGTATGATAGTGAGAGTAGCGGCATGTAATAACAACATGGAAATACAAAATGGAATGAGAAGGCATGGTATGTGTGTAACGGCATATACCAATACCATGCAAAATATGGAATGAAACGGCGGGACAACACCACACGAACCGGAACTTTCCGCACCATGTAACCGTCTAACGCGAGACATGGTAGAAGAAAACTTACTTACCGGAAGCGCGTGAGGGATGGCGGACAAGCAGTAGGATATTGCCGTCAAGCACAAAAGATGGAACGTTCGGTGTGTGCCGTATGGATTGTAAGTAGAAGTTTTGGATTCTCGTTGGCAGTACAAGTAAGGTGCTCTTGACGGACGATGTCGATGAAACGATATGCCTTCCTTGGCTTCTCTTTTTCCTTTGCTTGTCTAAGGTAGCTAAGCAACACAGCGGTGTTGGTGGTCGTAGCCACAGCATTGTGCGGCAACTCAGGGAACATGCATTGGACGACCCCCGATGTTGCGTAGGTATTCAGAGAACACCAATAGCTTTGGGGGCCGCTTGTACAGGAATTAGCTGGAAACATGATTCGTGTTGACAAGAAGAACGCTGCGTACAATAGTCGGTGGTCAAACAAACGGCCAAATATTTGCTACACATCATCGTGGGGAGAGCCGCAAACAGGGAAATAACCAAACGAGTGTACCCCCCCCCTCCCCCCTGCCGTGTAGGGATGGAAGGAAGGTCTATTGTCTAAGGGTTAGGGGTGTGCACGATATCGCGTAGCCCCCCTTTGCCTTACCCCCAAAGTACCCCGCCCCGAACGAAACTCCCGGGCAACGCTCAGCGACTCAGGCAAGCAACAATCCACTAACCCCGATCTCCACCGCTTGCAGAACTGGACGGTGGCGGACCCCAGCCTAGGCGGCGCACCCCCGCTCCTCGTCCCGAGGTTCGAGCTGCGCGTACTAGCTCTAGCACCCGGAGCGGTATCAGCAGCAGCAGCGACGTCATCATCGGCAGCAAGAAGCCCTTCCTCTGCTAACGACAAGGGTGGTGGGGGTGGCGGGACCCCCGAAGAGGGGGAGGGAAGGCGGAGCGGGGGGAGGGGACAAGATGGGAGCGTCCCCGGTAATGAGGCGGAGGCGTTAATGTTGTCGGCGGCGGTGGTGGAGTCTCACCCAATGGACTCAGACGAGAACGGGGTTTGCATGACCCTGGTGAGGCTGGAGCAGGGGGGGGCTCCGCGGATGTACGTGGCGGTGGGGACGGGAATGAACGAGCCGCAGGGGGAGGACAAGGCTGTGAGTTTGTCTGCTAACGGTGCTCGTCCGGTTGTTTTTATACACGATTTTCTTTTGATGATGTGTTAATATTGTGACGTAACGCATGTACGTGGGCGCAGCATTTGTGTTAGCGACAGCAGTAGTATCAACTTGAACCAATATGCCACTTGGGAGTGCATTCGTCGCGTGATGTACAGCCGTCGTTTGCAGGGCTGATACATCATCGAAAGAACGACGGCATCCCTGTCTGCGTGATAAATTTAGTCATATTCACTCTCTCCCACTTTTCACTGTGTTGCAGCACAACAATAAAAAAAAAGGATATATTGTAACGTTTTCGGCTTATGATGTTTTCGGCTTGCCGAGGCGACAGGGCGACTGGACACTCTGCCCGCTTGATTCGTTCTCGCCCATTTTTTACTTGGTATGTTGCAACGCAATCAAAATATTAGCTTAGTTTTGCTTGTACTGGCGACAGGGCGACTTGACGCCTTTGCCCGCTTGGTATTATAGTCTAATTCACTCTCTCCCACTTTTCACTATTTGCAGCACAACATCAATGACAAATCATTTTTTTAATTTTATTTTTGGCTTGTGCAGGCGAGAGGACTGCTGGCCGCCTTGCCCGCTTGATTTCATTCTCGCCCATTTTTCATTACATTGCAGCGCAACCAATACAATTTTTTTTTGTTGTTGTACGAGGCGACAGGGCGACTTGATGCCATTGCCCGCTTGATATAATAGTCTCAATTCCCTCTCTCAATTTTCACTATTTGCAGAACAGCATCAATGTTTTTTTTTTTTGCGTGTAGACGCTAATGCGAGAGGACTACTGGCCACCCTCCCCGCTTGATTTTCATTCTCGCCCATTTTTCACTACTCAACGCAACCAAATTAAAATCGTGTTTGTTTTTGGTTGTTCAAGGCGACAGGCCGTTGCCCGCTTGATACTCGTATTCTCTTTCTCCCATTTTTTACTACCTTTCAGCACAACCACTATTCGGTGAATGTAGTCGCTTCTGACTGTTTGGCGGTTTCTCGTGAACAAATCCCAAAACAGTTTTTTTTTTTTTGTTATACAGGCGAGAGGCAGACTTATCCTGCTTGAGGTGGACTACGCCTACCTGGCGAGGGAGGACGGCAAGCACGAGCATGCCGTCAAGCTACGCCAGGTCTTCGCAAAGGAGCAGCTCGGGCCCGTGTCGGGGGAGGTGGGTTCACCCTCCCGAAGTGTTTTCTCCTTGTGCTGGTAGTTGCCATCGTTTGTGGATGATGATGGCAGTGGTCTATATTTTTTCCTTTTTCGACGAGTTTGCCCGAAGTGTTTCACCTTGTGCTGGTAGTTGCCATCGTTTGTGGATGATGATGGCAGTGGTCTATATTTTTTCCTTTTTCGACGAGTTTGCCCGAAGTGTTTCACCTTGTGCTGGTACTTGCCATCGTTTGTGGATGATGATGGTGGTGATCAATCTTTTTCCTTTTTGGACGAACGAGTTTACCCTAAGTTTTCGTCTTGTGCTGGTCGTTGTCCTCCTTAGTGGATGATGATGGTCGAGGCCATTCTTTTTTCTCTGTTGACTCAAGTAATTCATACGGTTATCCCAGCAGCGTTCGCTCGGTTTTCACCCACCAGAGGCAAGAGAAACTTCTAACCCTATCGTTCATGAACCCAATCTTCCACGAAAACGTGTTCAGATATACGGTAGGTAATGTTTTTTTGCAAATCGTTGGGTGCGACGCGGAAACAGGCTCACCAGTAGCCTTTTCTTGTTTCTCGTTTCCTCCGTTCTTTCTCCTAACCCAGTACTGTTTTTTTGCTTTTTCTCTCTCGTTCGGTCACACTTTTTATCCCAACACATTTGGGTTTTTGACTTAACAGACCTGAGTTCGCCGTTGTCCTTTTTTAGTGTCCTGTCGCTTTATGTTTTGTCGCCAACATTTTCCCCTTTTTTGTTCTTTTCACTTGACAGTCCGGTCCTGTGTCGGCAGTGGCGCAGCTTGGCCGTCATCTCATCCTCAGCGTCGGAAAGAAGGTCATCGTAAACAGGCGAGGAAATGATTTCATTCGCCACAAGATTATCAACTAACATTCCTAACTGGCATTCCTGGCATTGGTGAGCATATGTTAGTGGGAGCGGTTTGCTTTTTTGTGTGACCTCCACGTTTGGCTGCCGTGGTATGATACTGCACAGCAACCTCCATGCTCGCGCCGTTCGCGACCCGCGGCGCCGCCGTCTCTCACTCGCACTCGCTGGAGAATCTGCAAGAGCACCCGAGAACAACCTGTCTGGTCGGTGGATGCTCGCGCCTTTAAGGCTTAAGAGTGCATCCTACAACGTGCGCCTCCGAGATACTCGATGGGCTCGCAACACACTTGTTCCGCTATCAAGTTTTTATTGCTTTGCCATTTTTGTTTTCTTTCGGTGCTCGCGCACGCAAGACGTAGGTCGGCGTCTTACAACGTCTGTCGTACGCCTCAGAGATGCTCGATTCACTCGCTGCGCTGTCGCATTTGTCGCTGTACCATTTTGTCCCTTCGATACAATAATCGCGCACCTAAAGACATAAGTCGGCATCCGACGAACTCGCCCCTCAAGGGTTTGCCAAGCACTTACTCCGGCGTCTAATTTTCATTGGCGTGCCTTCTTGGCTTCATCTTGGATGCTGGCGTGTGTTTGTCCCCCATCACCCTCAAGATGGGACCCGAAGACTTGCACCTTGGAGCTGATCGGGTTCCATGACCCGCGTGTGTACGTGATGAGCCTCTCGGTGATCAAGCACAAGTTTATTCTCGTCGGGGACGCCTACGGCTCTGTTCAGGTGTTTTGCTGTTGTTGCTGCTGCTGCTGCTGCTGCTGTTGTTGTTGTTGTTGTTGTTGTTGTTGTTGTTGCGAAGCCTTTTTTTCTTTACACGTGGTTGACCTTGTCGTGCATGTTACTCTTACCTCTCTCGTTGAAAGGGGCATGTCACTGTTACATAACTGCACTCACTCCCTGACAACTTGGTTGACGGGGTGCTTACTACCGCGCCCTATTTGTCCCTTTCCTCTACCCTTGGCGAACAAACAGCCTGGAAGAAATGGCTGCAATTCGCCCTTGTCTATGGCGGTGTGTGTCCCACGAAATGCCGAAATGTCTCAAAAGACGCTGCTGAGTACCTCACACTTGGCGGTCTCCGTCTGTCTCTGTCTCTGTCTCTGTCTCTGTCTCTGTCTCTCTCGCGCGCGCTCGCTCGCTCGCTTGCTCTCTGCCCTACCCCCTACCTTTCCTCTCTATCTCTGTCTATCTCTGTCTCTCTCTGTCTCTCTCTGTCCCTATCTCTCTCTCTCTCTCTCTCTCTCGCTTGCTCTCTGCCCTACCCCCCTCCTTTCCTCTCTCTGCCTCGCTCTCTTTACCGTTGGCTGTTTGTTGTTTGTCGGAACAGCTTGTCGTGTGGAGAGAAGAAGACCATTCCCTGACGGCCCTCTCCAAGGACCACGAAGACTGCCAGGTCTTCTCGGCCGAGTATCTGATTGACGAGCCGGGCATGGCCATCGTCGTTGCTGACGGAAGAAGAAACGTCAAGGTGGATTGGTTCAATGACTGCTGTTTTTTTCGTCGGTTCATGTAGTTGAGAAAGGGAAGACGGCGTAAGTAAACAGCAAGAAACTTCAAACCGATAACTGATAGTGAATGGGATGCCTAATAAATATTGAAGTAGGCAATCCATGGCTAATGGTGTCTTGATGCTGACAAGGTTGAGGTTGACACGCTTGATGTCTCCGTTGCATCAATTTACGTTTGACGATGTTCCTCCTCTCACCCTCGCTGTTGCCCGTTGTCTTGGGTGGAACCCAACTTGTTTTTGGATTCTGAAAGGTGTTGCAGTACGCCCCCAACGCGACCAACTCTCGAGGAGGCACCAAGCTGCTTTGCCAGTCTGACTTCTACCTCGGATCCAGGGTGGGAAAGGTTAGTACACTGTTTTTGTATTGTGGCCGTTTGCCTCGTATCGGTCCCACTGTCGTTGTTATTATTGTTGTTGCACTGCTGCTGCTGCTGTTGTTGCTGTTGTTGACGTTGTCGCAAGCACGATGGGGCAGCAGCTACTGCCCAACGGAGGCCCACTTTTGACCGTACACCGTAGTCTTTGTCATCACGACTGTTGTGGCGTAAGGCAGGGGGATCGCCAAATAGGTTTCTACATGAGATGGTTATGTACCGCAGCTTGGTGGCCGTGCGATCCCAATTGCGGTTTCGCTGAGAACGATTTTCCCCTGCGTTCTTTGAAGTATTCTGTTTTGTTCCCTGGCAAACGATGCCCCCCAAACATCTCGCTTCATTCATCGCAGTATTCGTTTGTTTGCTTTTTGGTTTTCCTCTTTGCATCTAACTCAACTCTGCTTGCATACGCCTAATCACGTTCCCCGCTGAAGACAAAAAAAAAAACACTAACAGCTCCGAGTAAATCGACGTATCAACGCTATTAGCCCTGTTGTTCGTGTTTGTGCGTGTGCTTACCTCACCGAAAAATCCGCCAATTTGACTTTTACCGCTAATCCTGTTGTGGGTATTTGTGTGTTTCTTGCTCCCTTGTTGCACCTCGCGCAGCTGACACGACGGCGCACCCGGGGGAACCTCAGGGACGGTGCTCGGTACTGTCTCCTCGCCGGCACCCTTGACGGTGGCCTTGGGGCAGTCCTTCCCGTAGACGAGCGCGTCTTCCGAAGGCTTTACGCGCTCCAGGGCATCATGAGCAACGCGCTTGGCCACAACGGCGCAGCCAACCCAAGGTTTGTGGGTTTTCTTCTTTTTTCGGGTTTGTTGGGGTAAGGGGGAGGTGGATCGGAGATCGGAGATGAGATCTCCGCATGTTCAACCGTTGCTTGGTGGAAATAAAAAAATCATGTACAGAACACCCCTTGCATGTTGTATTTTCGTACATTGAGGGAGAAGAATGCCAAAGAAGCAGTGACCTCGCCGCAATCCTTTCCGGTGCACTTCTTCAAGTTGGTCGTTTCGTTCTTGCTGTGTCTTCTTTCCTGCTGCCGTGTGTTTCGGTATTGTGGCAAGGTTGGCGGTCTTGAGGCTTTGCTAGGTGAAGGGCAGGCAATTTATGTTCGTTGGGTTGTTATTGACCAGGCAAGAGCTGCTGGTGGTGATGCCTTGGGATGTGATGGGTGGGGGGGCGGCACGTGGCTTGGTCGGAGTTTTTCTCGACTCCCGGATGTTGGTGTGCGGTCGTGTTGAGGAGGGGTCACGCAGATGGCATGTTGGTCGGAGGGCCAACTCGCCTCGTCGTGCGCGGTTGTTGTTAGGGTTAAGGTTAGATTCCTCGGCCCCTTTTGATCTTCTTCTCGGAAGGATTAAGAATGAGAGTTGGCCCACGGAAGTGAATCCATCCCGGATGTCATGCATGTCAAGCACGCTCGCAGCTTTGCTAACGGCTGGGTGACGGGGTTGGCTGGTCGCTATCCCGGACGAGGTTATCAAGTGCATTGGTCAAGATTCGTGGCGAGCGTGTACACGTGCTGCTCCTCGTCGAACTTGACACTTCAATGCACCAAAATCACCCCGCGTGTCACCCGAAATCACCCCCCCCCCCCCCCC